TTATTATTAAGAAAAGCACTTCGTAAACTAAAATATTCTGAATATGATATATGTAAATCATGAAAAAGAGGATGCTGGCTGCTTAGTTTTGTTGGCCATCCTTCAATATTTGCTCTTGTTTTTGGCTATTTATTTCTCAATACTATATCTATAAAATTTTTTGGTATCAAATTTGAGATAATTTTAATTTCTTCAATATCATCATTGTTATTAATTTTTAAGTTTTGCTCTGTAGTATATTGTTTGCAAAGAATTGAATATAATGAAATGTCTGAAAAAATATTTGAAACTTTATTTATAGTTGTTGGAAAACGGTAATCTTTGCCATCATCAAATAAGTAAGTTAATGCAAATGAGGTATTATATCGCCAAAGGAGATCTAGTTCAAGATTTTTGTAATTAGTATGTGGTACCATATTTTTGTATATTCTGTGTATCATTTCTTTGACTTCAACAGATGTGTTCACAAGAGTTGCAAATGTATGAGCATGTTGTGACAAATGGACATTTACATGAACATTAGGTAAGTTTTCAAATATGTCTGGAAAAATCTTCAAAAAACTAATTCGTTCTTTTTCAAACAAACTGTGAAGCTCCTTATAAGTGTCATTTGTTATTGTTGTTGAGAAAGCCAACTTAAGTAGTTTTGCTTCAACTACCCAAAGTTCTATTAGTTTAATAATAGCATGATCATTATGAGTAAGCTTATATACATTTTTTAAATGTTCAATTATTTCAGCTTTTAAATGTGAAGGTGATAAAAAGTAACGTAGAATAAATGGCATTAACATTGCTAGGCGTAAAGTATCTGAAAATGTAAAACTATGACGATGAGTTAGCAGATTTGGCATCCGTGACCATCTTGCTGGTTTTTTGATACTTTTCCAACACTTAAGCCAAGCTACTTCTCCATTAGTATTTAAATATCTAAGAGTCATATCTAGAAGATGTGTAGCTTTACCAGCAAGTGCATGATAAGCATCTTGCGGTGATTGTAAATGTCTGTCCCAATAAAGAGTATCAAGAACTGGCTTTGCACTAAATCCATATTTACTAGATAGTTGTTGACGAGCAGAGTCTGTTTGTTGCTGTGCAATTTCATTATATTGTATATTGGTTAAGTGGTGAAAGCATGCATTCGCAACAAAGTCAAGCTAGAGTTTGTTAATTGGTTACTAGATACAGAACAAGTTCTGCAACCATAATTTGCATTATGTCTAAGTACATCAGCAAGGTCATTACCTTGGGGTAAATCGGCTGTAACACAGCCAAGTCCACCAATAAGCTATATTTCTTCTTCCAATATATTTATAATTTTTCTATATTGTAATTAGTGAATATTATCAAGAATTGGTTTAATAAAATCTTTAAATGAAGCCCCAAATAGAACAAAGCCAAGTAGAAAATGATTTTTGAGTAGCTTTTGTAAATCAAACAGTATATTTCTAATAACTAAATAAACTCCTCCTA